TCTTCTCCAAAGACTTCAGCAGTTGTTCCACGAGAGCCCATTGCCTGCATGCCGCTAGGCCCAGCAGCCTCTGGGCTTCTTCTCTGACGGTCGCGCTCATGGAGCCGAGTTTACTTCCGGGCTGCGACGGTTCTCCCGTGGTCGCACCGCCATTGCTTCCCGTCGAGACTAAACCATCATCTTTCTTATCGTCCGACGGGCTGTCCTCTTTGCTGGAGGGATTCTTCTTGTCGTTCTCGTTTCCCGGTGGCTTCTCCCTGTTACTGCTCATGCTATTCTACGTATTTCAATACGTGAAACGCAAATGATTCGCTTGAACGACTCACTCTCGCTCAAAATAGCACACCGTTAATTTGGTACACGAAACAACGAAAATTGTACGACCACTGGGCAGATACTTAACTTTCCGTTTGATGCGACGTACACTTAGCAGAATGCAAGATACTACAACATATATATATTTAAATGGCTTTTAGCGACTTTGAGAGCTAATGAGAAATAAGGAAGCTTTACTTTATAGAAGCGAAACAATTATGTAGAATCAAGATATATTTACAATAATCGCGAATAGGTTTCAAAATGTATCATTGGATTAACATATTTGAAACATTCAGAACGATACTTCCAAGAAATGCGAAATACGTGATTCTAACAAAAGCCTGGAAGTATCATTATATTTAAGGTTTTAATCTTCTCATCGCGGCCCTTATAACATCTATGATACCCGGAATTAGTAAATATTTGTGGTTGTAACTAAAAATAATAAATTAATAGATATTAAATTATCAACATTTGAGATATAAATAATTTGCAAGAATCAGCGAGGTAGTTATTGCGTAATTTTTTAACAAATTAATTAACAACAGTTATCACTGCATATGTTATAGCCCGAGTACTATCACGCTATCAGCCTTGCATTTCGGCAACGCATGCATGGCAGCGAGCGAACGGAAGTGCAAGACTGCAAGCTTGCGAATTTCCCGCGAGCAAGCGCGAACGAAGGTCGCATGGGAAGATAGCACTTGACTTCCCATGACCAAATATGATCCGATTGCAGACCATCGCGAATTGCAATAGGACACCAAAAAATTCTATGTAAGCGGCCGCTTAAACGTGCGCCAGAAGAGTTCGATTAAGAGAGTTAAACAGACAACACATTACGCGTCCGCGATAACAAGTATCAAGTTGCGCGATACCGAGTACCGGCAAGACATCCCCCGCGAACGCGAACGTGAAACAGATACGTAGCCACGATCATAGTATAGTAATAGGAACATTGTTGCAAAAGAAAAAGAATTATTGTTGCAAACAGCGCAGTGTATGACTTTACAAGGATCGTATTAATGAGATCACAAATAGTTCACTACATATATTTAAGTATTAGTACATTGCAATGACTGAGATCCGCGCAACAACGATTCGCAGAGAGAAGTGAAGGCTCATCTACACGATAACTGATAAGGAGTAAGACGGCGTAAGGGTGCAAGCGCAGGCGCAAGAGAATTGTCTCGGTCGTATAGCAACGCGGCGTAGCATAGTGGACATAAACTAATTTTATTTCTAATATCTGCGTCAACATTACGCGCCGGTTATTTTCTCGCTCATTTTTCAAAATTGTAGTCACTTTGGTTTGGATCGCAGCACTCACTAGTAAGTTATAAATTTGTGTCATGTGTATAAGTTAGGAATTAATTGCTAATAAGAAAGTTGTATTTTAATTATAATAAAATATCAAATTTAGTTTAGATAATGAGACTACGGGCGCGCATGGACACCGCTACAACACAAAGAACGAAAATAAAGTCATCTACACAATGTGCCCGACTGTCGCGCTCCTATAGCATAGATAAACGTCTCGAGATCGTATATCAACAATTATAATATCACGGAATCATTTGTACCAAAGGTGAAATAAAGTATACTTTAATTGTGAAACAACAGTATTAAGTGACTGTGTCTCGATTCTTACCCCGCAGTATCCTCGTGGGTCCTAACCCTTTAGGCGAGCGAATCTCAAAATATTCATTTGTTGCACCGAGAGATTCAACAAAATTGGTGGCAGCGGTGGGATGAGCGAAGCGAACGATACAAAACCGAGGATCACCAAACGCCCTTAGGGAGCGTCGGCCAAGATCCGACGAGCTTTGTTGTCAGAGAAAACGCACTAAAGACTTAACACTTATACTAAATTAGCAGTTGTAATTTTACGAAAAGAATAATATTGCATACAAATAAAAATAAAAGTTTTGTTAACTGAAACATTTCGCCGACTGATTAATCGTTTTAAAGAGGGACCCCGGGAAATAAAAGTCTGAAATAAAAGAGGGGGATCACTACTCGTTCCAAACCAGAAAAACGTATTCGCATCTATAGGAAAAACCCCGCTAATTGCAATAAATACAGAAGGACATATGTATACAACACTATCGTGGAATGAATTACTAAAATGTAAAATAATTAACGCCAAATATCTATGTGTGCAAAACTTTCCGATACACCGTGTAAATACAGACCTGATTTGCGAGATCGGAACTTATTTAGAAAATAACAAAAATTAAAAAGAATGTAAGATAAAGTGTAATAGTAGTCAAATTACACAGTACGGGTAGCATTAAATAACTCGAATTCT